CTTTGGCATATGTATCAACGATCGAAGAAGCGATATACATCATGAAGGAGGCGGGGCCAATAAAAATGAGACTGTAATAAAGCCAGTGATTTTTCTCGACCGGCATGAGCTGCGAGTCTTCCAGAATGGGCCTCACATACTAGATGTTGTCGCCAGGATGACACAGGATTGCACATCAAGTTATGCTGAGAAAGATAGCCAAGCCGAATAGCAAAACCGGAAAAATGTCCATGTAGCTGGCAATGATTTCAGATTTCTGCAAAGTCAGGATCAGATGCATAGAGCTCTTTAAGACTAGTCAGACCTAAAAATTCGATTTGCAGTTGAGTTAGAAGAAGCATCTTTCGATTAAGGGCATTGGTAACGGTTTTTTGCTTGCTAGATTGGTGTTTTAGACCAAAATAAAACTTCTGGAGGAAGGTGACCCAGCGTACATGCATGTGGTTAACATGTTTTTGACTATTAATGAATTGAAGGGCTTTATTATTAGTAACAAATAATGAACTCATGATAAAGTAAACAATGTTCCCACTATTTTAGAGCACAGATCACTGGGTATATTTCTTGTTCATAGGCTGACCACTATTGGAGGGATGGGCAAAGCTTTTCACTTAAATATGCAACTAGCCATCCTTCTTGGGATAACACGGCTCCAATGCCTACAGAAGAAGTGTTAGTTTCTACATTAAACAATTTATAAAAAAATTGGAATGTCAAGAACGAGGGCAGATGTCAAAGCCTTCTTAATAGCCTAAAAATTATTTTATTGACAATCACCCCAGTGAAAGGCTTTAGACTTTAAGCAGTCGATAATATGATGCATAAGAATACTAAATCCCTTAATAAACTTGCGATAAAAATTCGCTAATCCATTAAAACTATGAACTTCAAAGAAGGAAGTTGGGCTGGGCCAATTAAGGATGGATACTATTTTCTCTGGATTCATCTGGAGGCCTTCCTTGGACACCACAAAACCAAGGAATTGAACATTTGAGGTGGAAAAGTCATATTTTGTGAGATTAAGAAACAGCTGATGCTCCCACAATAGTTCAAAGAGCTGTTTAAGATAGTCTCAGTGTTGCGTCAAGGTGTCGTTGTAGACTAAAATATCATCAAAGTACGAGATGCATAATTTTCCCCATATTGGTTTTAGTATGTCTTGCATCATTCTCATAAAGGTGGACGGTGCATTACATAACACAAATGGCATTACTCTCCACTCATTGAGTCTGAATGGTGTTTTAAAAGCTGTTTTCCATTCGTCACTAGGATGAATTCAGATTTGGTGGTAGCCGCTGCATAGATCAAGCTTGGAGAACACCGACGATCCAACCAGTTTATATAGAAGTTCATCAATTCGGGGGTTGAGAAAACGGTATTTGACAGTGATTTTATTTATATCTTTGATGTCCATGCATAGTCTATATTCACTATTCTTCTTAGGTAGAAGCAAGGCAGGGATGACACAGAGGCTAATAATTGCTTGTATTAGTTGTTTGTCCAATATGTCCTCAATGATTGATTAGAGAATCAATTTCTCTTTCGGGTTGAGTCGATAGTGTGGCAGGTTTGGCAATATAGCATTAGGAAGCAAATCAATTTGATGTTGAATGTGCCTTAAATGCAGGAGGATGGCCGGTAGTTCTTGAGGACTTATCAAGTTGAACTCTTCTAATAGAGTGTGAATTTTATTAGGAATGCTTTCCTATTATGAACAAGTCGAATCGGTGACCACTAATGCCCATATTGGATCAGAATCTCTCCCATTGAGTAACAACTTTGGTTCATATACAATATGCATCACTGTCGAGACCTGTGTGCTAGGCTCATGTAATTTGTTCTCACGGGGCCCTCGTAATTACCGTAGGTGCTTGTCCTTCCAATTTAGGGAGTAGACATTAGCTCGACCATCATAGATAACACCGGCGTTGAACTGCCATGTCATTCCTAAAATCGGATGGCACACGTCCATATCTAAGATGTTACATAACACATCACACACATATTGTCGTCATATGGATAAGGTTACCTGACACATTTATGTTACCTGAATGTCAATTCCCCCTTTTACCCAACTGATCTTATATGATTATGGATTTTTAATTGTTATGAGTTGAAGGGCTTATACTATCGAACTAGAAATGACATTCTCAGTGCAGCCATTATCAATCAAGAGATCACAAACCTTACCATTGATAGTGTACTTGGTCTTGAATATAGCATTACGTTGTGAGGCATTGGAGAGTCGATGAGCTATTAACAATTTCTCAAGCATACAGACCAAAGATTCGCCCTCATCACCTTCGATGTCTTCAAATTCTAGGTCATCCTCATCATTTGGTTAAGTAGAGTGTCACCATCCTCATTCTCCAACAACTGTAGTTGTTGTTGTTGGGGGCACTCGTTGAATTTTTGGCTTAGTTGAAAATAGCGGAAGCACTTCATTATAAACAGTTTGACATACGGATTATTCGAAGTAGGGGTTCTGAACTTTGCTTGGGTTTTGTTCTCAGGAGCTAGTCCCAAAGGCGTAGGCAATGGCGTTGCTTGTGGTGGGGACATGACATTTAGAGGAGGTTTTATAGAAGTTGAGCCTCGCTTTGTGTGATCACATGATGGGTCTTGAAATAGGCTTATGGGATATGGAAATCTAGAAGGGCGGATCTGCTGCATCTCAACTCGTAAAGCAAAATTGACGGCATGGGATAGAGACCATTCTAAATTCAACTAGATTTATCCTGAATGCTTTCCTTGAGGCCCCCTATATACCTTGCTACCAATTGATTCATGGATTCATTTAAATTGTTCTGTGCACTGAGGCGATGAAATTTTTTGATATAGTCACTGATAGCACGATTTCCTTGAACACAGTGTTGGTACCTCATTTACAAAATCTATTAATAATTCGTAGATAGAAATTGAGAATGTAATAACTTCTTCATCCGGGCCAAACTGCAGACAGGGTCCTTCACCTCCCGTTGCAGCATTTGAAGAAACAGTGTCCACCAGGCACTGGCTTTAATTCTCAATCGGCATGCCACATATCTTACCTGCTTAGAGGGCACGATTTCCATATAGTTGAAGAAGTTTTCAACTGTCTTTTCCCAATCTAAATAGTCCTCTATGTTCCCATCAAAAAAGGTATATCCACCTTAACTTTGAATTCAGCTTCGCTTCTTAGTGGGGCTAGGCATCTTCCACGCCTATAATAGCCAACATTATAGTTATTGTCTTCATCATCTTCCTCAGAATCGCTTAGATTCACTTCTCGTTGCCATTGTAAATCTGGTTCAAAGTCCGATAGCTCCTGTGTAGGTGGAGGAATTCGACGCCATGGCCGGTCAAGGTCAATGCCACGCCGCGCACCAGAAACCATAGTGGGTGCTTGAGTTCGACGAGGTTGGTAGGGTGCTGTCCTTGTTAGGTTGAGATTGAACTCACGACAAATAGGAATTAAACATCGATAGACAACACTTCCAATTTTCGGATGATGTTCGCCTAGTTTTCCCATAACAATTCCAGGCTTCGAACATCCTTAGTAGCTGGTTCCTTGCCTTTATTTGTCATCCTACTGCTTAGGCTCTAATACCAACTTGATGCAGCCCACAGATCGGCAACAACAACAAGGACCTCCTGCAATTGTTTTCTATATATATTTCCTACTCGAAACCATAGAAAATCAAATAAAAAGAAAAATAAAAACAAGGAAATCTCTTCCCATAATAGAGGGATGTAAATTCAGTGATATCCAAAAACGACCTTCTCATCTACAATTGTTTTCTATATATATTTCCTATAGTTTCTTTTCCTATCAAATAGTTTTCTATTTTTAGAATAAATATGGCAACCAACAAAAAGTATTAATAGTACGTACTCTAATATATAACAGAAATGGTATGGAGTGGGTGGAGAATGAGCAAATAAAAGAATACTGATGCTGGCGTTTACTTATAAGCTACATCAATTAATAGTACTCATTACTTCATGCTTGGCCGTCCATTTCACTCTCCCTAGCCACTTGCTTGGCCGTCCATTTCACTCTATACTTGAGTAATTTATTTAATTAAGTGACTTCTCTTAGCCATTTTATACATGAAACCCACACTTCAAATACCAGATCTCATACACATATAGTTACAATATCATAAGCATGAAAATACATTAAAATATAATAAAAAATGATGTAAGACTTCATAGCTTGAGTTTCATGTGCTCTTGCTCTTGCTCTCACTCTTAATGTAATGATAGACTATCTGCATATTTATATTGAAATGAGTGCAATATGAATCATTTATATATATGTATTACCTTGGTTATGAAAATTAGAAAAAAAAAATGAGAGATTCAAATTAAAAGTTCAATGATTCGACCGAGGTGGAATCAAGAGTTGAACCGAATGATATAATAAATATTAGCATTATTTAAATGTGATTTTTAAGATGAGTTGGATCAACCATATGACCAATCTACATTTGAATTGGCCGATCTGATCTAATTTTTAAAACCTTGTGTATTATACTCATCACAAATTTCATTTAAGCAATTTTAAATTCATACTGAATAATTTTTTGGAGATAAAATACATAATCTTTTTTACTATTGTAATCATAAGTCGATATAAAATAAAAAATTTCTTTTGAATAATTCAGACATATATAAAGAATAAGGTTTCGTTTGGGGCGGCTTTTTTATTGCTTCATAAAATAGAATTTTAGTTAAAAAATTTTAATTTTTGAACTAAAACTCTGTTTTTTAAAAAGCAATAAAAAAATCATCCAAAACAAGTCCTAAGTTTATAATTTTGTAAAATGTGATAAGTTTTACTAAACTTTGCATTTTTTTTATTTGTCTTAAATTTAATTCGAGTTAGAAATATAAATCTTTGAATGTCAGTTTATGAATATTCTTAATAATAGTCCAAAAAAGAAGATGGGTTAGCTTTCTGTCGTTTTAACGTATAATGTTTTAAAGTCTCAAACTTTTACTTTGAAATGAGAATTATGGGGGCATTATCATAAATTAATGTTATGTCAAATCAGTCAGCGAATTTTCTATAACCATTTAGTTTTTATTTTTATAGATAAAGATATGAAATACGACCTCATCATGTGCTATTAATCTAATAACATTAAAAGTAAATAATGTAATGTAATGTACAATTAAAAAGTTTGAAAAACTTGGGAGCTTTGGGTGCTATAAATTTAAGCATGAGAGCCACAGTGAAGGGAGGACAAAAAAAAAAGGTTCAATGTCTAATCCTCTTGTGTTAGGTAGCTCCCTGCCAGTGCCCAATGTTCAGGAGCTCGCTCGTTCGGATCAGATTCCAGAGAGATACTTCAAGCCTGATGTTGATGCCGCATCGATGGCCTCCATCGATGACGATGAGCTCCCTGTGATTGATCTAATGAAGCTTCTCGATCCAGAGCTCATTGATAGGGAGGAGCTTTTAAGGTTAGGATCAGCATGCAAAGAGTGGGGCTTCTTCCAGGTATTTATGTCCCATATGCCTTTGTAAATATTTCTACTAGCAGTACTTGTTCTTCTGTCTTGCAATACATGAGCTTAATTATCTCTTTATTTGCTTCGACTTATGTGATAAAGTGATATTTGATGCTTATGTGTTTTGTTCTGCTGTGAAATACAAGAAAAGTTCTCGTAGCTTCACCTTATCTTGATATTTTCATAAAGGGACATAAAAATGGGTAACATTATTAATAAAATATATGTATACTTCTTTGCTCATTTAAATTCAATTTTAATATTATTTTTCTCATATCTTATTACTAATTTAATTATTTTTTTATTATGATAATCAGCTAATAAATCATGGAATTCCAGAAGAAGTGATAGAGAAAACAAAGGATGATATTAGCAAGTTCTTCAAGCTTCCACTCAAAGAAAAAGAAGAGATTAAACAAATACCTGGACATATTGAAGGTTATGGTCAAATGTTTGTGCACTCAGAAGAACAAAAATTAGATTGGGCAGACATTCTCATTCTCGCCATCCAACCTCCTCAAAATAGGAACATGAGATTTTGGCCTACTAATCCCTCTACATTCAGGTACTTCTAAATATATAGCAAAATTTTACTTGATTGATATATATAAATTAATTAGCATACTGAGATCGCCAATGAAAATTTATGCACACGTATATTACAGGGATACACTCGAAACATACACATCGAAGGTTGCCAGAGTTGTTGATTGTCTTTATGGATTGATGGCTAAGGATTTGGGGGTTGATACTCAAGACATGCTTAATATTTCTCGTGACCAGCTACAAACTGTAAGGATAAATTACTATCCACCGTGCAAACAAGCCAATAAGGTGTTAGGTCTCTCCCCTCATAGTGATGCAAATGCATTAACCGTGCTCCTGCAAGCAAATGATGTCCAGGGTTTGCAGATAAGGAAAAATGGCAAGTGGTTCCTCATAAAACCAAAGCCAGGAGCATTCATCATCAACATTGGTGATATGATGGAGGTACGTAATTATTAAAATGGCTCATAGCTTTGAAGTAACCTTCCTAGTTTTTTAGCTCTTCTTGAACAACAGTTACAATACCTCTTAGACCTTCTTGATAATCATTTTCTCAACAGATATTGACTAATGGAAGGTATAAGAGCATAGAGCACAGGGCTATTATAAACATGGAGGAGGAGCGACTATCAATAGCTGCATTTCATTCACCCAGTCTTGACGTTGTATTACGTCCTTTTTCCGAGCTTATTGATAGTGATGGGGAACTTTATAAAACGTTAACCGTCAAAGAATATACAAGCGAATACTTTGCAGGAAAACTGAATGGAAAGAATGCATTGGAGAGCGTGAAGCTAAGAAAATGACTGCGAAAATACCTACAATAAATCTGTGTGATAACAATATTGCATATGATATGTTATTATATTTTGTAATGTTCAATAATGGCTGTTTTATGTAAAACAGAAATGTTGCTTGACAATTATATGAGGTTATGTATGCCGATCGAGTACTTTGCTTTACAGTAGAAATAAAGAACTTCTATGAGCTATTTAGTTGTTATTATCGGAAGGATATATCATATCAAATACCATGTTACATGAATGTTATTGCTATCCACTCTTGGCATAAAAAAAGCCATATTCTAATGAGAATATTGATCTTAAAAATAGCTCATATAAATCTATAATGTAATTTCCTTCTGTGTGTAAGATGTACAGAACAGTCAAGTTCCTCAAGCAGGATATTCCTTACTTTCATCTTTAAGTAGATGTCTCAAATACTAATTCATTCAATGAATTTCTCAAATTTCAATGTAAATTTAATAGTTTTTTAGTTTAATTGCACATGCGTAAAATGCATGCATCTTGTTTGAAATTTCTAAATGGACAAGTTATTTAATTAATTACTATAATCTTTATGTTTATTAAAAAAATTATTATTTATTCTTTATTGATAAATTTATAAGATATATTTATTCTTTATGCGTAAAATGCATCTTGTTTATCAAAAGAAAATTTATAAGATATATTTTTAATCTATCTTCTAGGATTGGAGATTTTCCTCGGACATTTAGGGTGGAACCCTCCATTTTAAATTAGCATGAGGCCATTTAGGGTGTAACTTAAGACTACAAAAGCAATCAAAATAAGGTCATCCTTGGAAATTTGTTCTCATTTTTCATTACTAGGATGAGAAAGAAATGGGAAGCTAATAGAGGTCCTCTGTCATGACAGTCTTTTAGTTAAGCTTGATTGAATAGAAGTTAATGAAATGGATGAATGCTTTAGAGGATACAGTAAAGTAAATTGAAAAAAACAAAAAAACAATTACTTTGAGATAGTAAACTGTCAGATTATATCCAGGAAACTTTTTCATTGGGTTGCATTCTTCAATTACTTGAAATATATTTTGTTTGGAAGCTAGAGGATTAAAATATATGCTACAAAATTCTCCCTTTCCCTATAGGAAATCAGCAATCAAGCCTTCTTAATAAAACCGATAACATTGTGAAGGAAGACTACCATCATCAATAGCAGATGCATGCAGGAATATAATAGGAAGCTAAAACAAGATGTTTTATACTATTCATGACCTCAATTGATAGTACTTGTATGCTCCTTCAGAAAATCATTGCTCAATTTATTCCCTATGAAAAATATCCATGGACCCATTAGATGAATGGCGACGGCGAATTCGACTATGACGGCAAATTCAACTTTGACGGCGAATTCAGCATTGGGATGGGTGTAATCGATCATGGATGCTCGTCAAATGGAGCAATAGGACGGGTGGTCGATGAAGCTGCAGAATCAAGCATGAGTCGATTACGAAATGAATTGATATCGACTCATGCTTGATTCGGGCAGAGTAGGGGAAATAAGAGGTGAGGCTTTAGCAGCGGTGAAAACTATACCAATCTATAGCGGTGGTTTGCAAACCTCCGCTACGAACTATGAAGAAATGTAAGGATTTTTATAATGTAGATAAGTGTTGACCTCTACACATCAAATCACAAGCAACAGGGAGCAAAAATGTGAATCAAGCAAAGTGCGCATTGACGCGACACGTCACTTTAAAAGTCAAATGACCTCCGATTGTCAAACAAACTGCGTTGTTACAATCAAGACGTCGAATTCCCCTAATTGGGGACCCATCGCAATTAAATCAGACAAGATCGGTCCAAAGGAATGACCGACACCCAAAATTGACGCACGACATCACCCAAACCATCTCCGATCGTGCAACGGATTTTATCGTTGCGTTCGGAACATCGTTAGCACTCAATAACTATATTTTATTTGTCCAAATGAGATTACCAGGTGAAGCAGCATAAATCTCGAGGCAACGACACTCAAACCGAGAAAATTGGCGTGTGACGCCGATAAATTATCTTTCAAATTCTCACTCCTTCATGCTTGGCCAGCCACTCCAGTCTCCCTAGCCACTTGCTTGACTGGCCATTTCACTCTATACTTTGAATAATTTATTTAATTAAGTGATTTCTCTTAGCCATTTTATACATAAAACCCACACTACAAATATTAAATCTCAAACCCATACATTTACAATATCATAAACAAAAAAATACATAAAAATACCATACAAAATGATGTATGACTACATCATGACTTGAGCTTCGTGTATTCTTGCTTTTAATCTAGTGATAGACTACCCCAATGTCTTGCATAAATTTTTTTTTTTCAATTTTGATAATTTCTTCAATTTCAAAATTAAGCCTTAATTTTAATTTTAATAAAACTTTAATTAATTTAAATATGAAAATAATATGTAAAAATATTTCACTTATAAATAAATTTAAAATGTAAATATTCTTGAGAAAAAAATTTATATCATGATATTCAACTTTAGTCCTATATTCAATTTTACATAAGTGAAATATACATGAATTATTTATGTATTGCCAAGGTTCTGAAAATCGGATCTAATATAAAATTAAAAAATGAAAGATTTAAGGTTCAATGATTCAACCGAGCTTGAATCAAGTGTTGAATCTGATGATGAAAAAAATATTGACATTATTCAAATAAGATCTAAGTGGTATAATACTAATGTAATAAGGTTGCAATAATATAAACTTATGACTATAAAATAAACGGAATTCATAGACAAATAATAATTTTCTATTATTTAAAATTTAACAAATTAAAATATTAAATTCAATCCACATTTAACATGTATTTAGTTCACATATAAGCTTATAAGTTTAATATAAATTATTAACAATTTATTTTATTTGTTTAAATATCATTTAAATTATCTATCAAATTCTTCTTATAAAATTGCATATATTAATCATTCCTCGTAGATCATTCATCATTAATAAATAGATAAAAATTTACTTTTTATAGTATATAATAAAATAAATAAATTAATTAATTTTTATTAACTGAAAAAATAAACATTATTCATATTATAAAAACTTAATTAAAAAATCTATTTAAAACTATGAATTCTACATATGATAAACTTTAGAACTTTAACTTATTTATTTACTTTAACATCACTAGGGATCTATCTCTTAGTATTGTTTAGATAGAAACTCATATGGAGTGGAGGGGCCATGAAAAAATGCATAGTTGATATTTTCCTAGTATATAATATATAATTATTATAGGATTTAATAGTTATTAAAAATTAAAATGTTGAAAATTTAATTTAATTTATTAAATTTAATATTTCAACCTAAACAAGTTAAATTAAATTATTTCTTTGTTTCAATAGATCAACAATTGAATTGGTTGGTTCAAAAGAATTGGGATCAGCATGCCAACAAAAATGATGGTTCGAACCTATTCATTTTAGACATATAACCAATCTACATTTAAACTGGCCCGTTCGATCCAATTTTTAAAACTGTGTGTATTATACTCATCACAAAGCAAATTTAAGCAATTTAAAGTCCATACTAATTAATTTGTTGGCCATGAAATACAATTCTTTTCTACTTTTGCACTCCTAAGTAGATATAAAATATAGAAATTTGTTTTGAATAATACATACATATATAAAGAAAAGTTTATAACTTTGCTAGTGTTGACCCCTCCACGACAAACCCCATGCAAAGTGAGTGAAACTGGCGAAACAAGAAGCGCGTGCGTTGACACGTTACGTTATTTGAAGGGTCAAGTGACCTTCGATTGTCAAACCGATTATGTTGTTGCAATCAGAACATCGAATCTGCCTAAATGAGAACCCCTCGCAGTCAAATCGGTCCAAAGGGATGACTGACACTTGAAATTGGCGTGCGACACCATCTAAATGACGTCTGATCGAGGAACGGATTTCGCCGTTGTGTCCAGAACATTCTCAATGCTAAAAAATGATAGCTAATTGGAGCAATTAAAGACACGATAGGAGATCGAGCTACATATCGAGGCAACTCATGCAAATCGAGGAAAGTTGTACATGACATTGCCCAAACGATATTCGATTGTAGAATGGACTTTGTCATTGCATCCGGAACATCATCAACACTTACAATTGACTATCAATTTTATCAATTAAAATTTTGCACGTAGATCAACGAGGGTCCCTAGGCAATGACCAGTAAATCGAGGAAATTAGCACCCGACATTACCTAGACGATGTCCTATCATGAAACAGACTTTCTTGTTGCTACCATAACGTTGTCAATACCCAAATTACACTATCAATTTGCCCAACAAAAATTATGCGGCGAAATCCACATGTAAAATGAGATTAAATACATATAACTCAAAAAATTGCATAAATCTAGGCGACATTGGACCCATTGACACACTGCCATAATTTCTAATGAGTAAGTGAGGATGTTAGGGCTTATTTTAGCATTTAATTAAAGAAATCTATAAGAAAATCCCAGGGTTTTTTCTCTTTTGGCGGCTCCCTCGTGCTTTTTTCTTTTCGGCCGACGAGCCTTTCTCCTCCTTTCTCGGGAGGAGGCTGGCTCCTCCTCTCCGGTATGGCTCTGGATCCTTCTGTTTTTCCTCATCTCCCGGGCACTTCCGTGCTTGGTGCTCCTTCTCGGCCGCTGGTTTCCTACGCGGACAACCTAGCCTCTCCTCCTGTCTTACAAGATGACTGGCCCATGTCTTTTGTCACTCCCTCCGCTAAACTCTCCATTTCTGCTGATGAGCTTGCTGCGGGGAAGAACATCTGGACTCATTCGCTGGTGGGGTACTCCATCGGACCTCGCCCGTATTATGAACGTCTCCTGGGCGCTATGAATAAGGCTTGGAAGCTCAAAGGCTCTTTCTCCTTGCTTTCCATGGCGGACGGCTTCTTTCTTCTGAAATTCACCTCGGCTGAAGACATGGAGTATGTTTTTTCAGGCGGTCCTTGGTTCCTCCTGGGTAAGGCTTTTATTTTACAGAAGTGGAATCCTAAGTTTAAACCCATTAGGGATGAATCCGCCTTGATCCCGATATGGATTAAAATTTTGGATCTTCCACTGGCTCTGTGGACGCCTGCTGGAATATCCAAAATTGCGAGTTTTGTGGGTATTCCTTTATCTGTTGATTCCTTGACT